AGCCGCTTCGGGATCCCTTTGGGGGGGCTGCGGGCGGGCACGCGCTGGGATCGCGGGTCTCGGGGTGCTTCTGCTGTTGGGGTTCCTTCCGGCTGTGTTTAGAGAGGGCGGGCAGGTCCTTTCAACATAACGAAGTTACATTTTTTAACTTGGGAGTGTAAAGCTCACTGTGCACTGAGCGAGGACTCGGCGCGTGCTGCACCTGCGTGCCCAGGGAACGTGCCCTGCTGTGAAATATCCATCGGTCGTTTCTGGTTCTTAACTGCCTGTCAGGAGAATCTCTTCGGCAGGGAGTAATTTAACTTGCAGCCAAATGTGGGCCTGCACTTAGGCAGTGCAGCAGGTTGTGAACTCACTGCTCAGTGTGGATGAGCCCTTGGGAGTCTGAGTTGCTTCATTAAGCAGTTAAATCTGGAAATGACACAATGCTTTTCGTATTTCCATGATACTCTTCCTGTTTTTTTCCATCAGTTATTATCCAGATATGAAAGCAGCAACATACTTTCAGTATTTCTTACAAAGTATAGTTATTCTGTAGAAATAAATGAGGCAGGATTAATAGGGGACTCAGCTAACAACTATAATGTCTTGTAAGTGAGCTTCAATAATAAGAAAAGCCCAAATAATCTGAAAAGCTACATTTTTGGGAACTACTAGCATTAGATGTACTGAGAAGCAACAGCTCAAGTGAATGATACAGATAATGTGCACTGTTTTAAAAAATGAATTTTTTGTGTGTTTGGCTACATAATTCAGGATGTGAGGTTGGTACTTTTTGGTTTCCTCCCCATCCCCTTTTACTTGTCTGTGATGTCTTGCAACAGGTTTTGCTGGATGCTCAAAAACATTGTTAGAAAACAATGTCCCTTGACTTTGATAGTGGAGCTCTACAAACTCAACATGAAGATGAAGACTATGACCAAGAAGATTATGCAAGAGAGCAAGAGGTGAAAAAAGAACAAGTTCTTTAGGCTGAACATTTGTGCTGCATAAAAAGTGCCTTGCAATGTTGCATGTAGTGCCTGGAAAACTGTCACTCCTTGCCTATGCAGCAGACCAGATGCAAAGACTGGTGTCACCTATGTTTTTTATTTCTTGACAGCTTTTTCCCTGATTACAGATACTTAGAAAGCAACAGCTCTCTTTCACTTGAAAAGTTGATTAGGTTATAAAAGAATGAGAAATACTTATAACCAGAATTTTAAAATTCTGATTATAAATTACATATTTAAATTTCTAGGAAAAAACATTAGAATGTGTTCAGGGTTTTTTTGAAGTTTAAGTAGTTTGGGTGCTTTTTGTTTCATAAAGATTTGCAAAATAAGTGTTTAACATGAATGTGCATAATGGTTTCTTCAGGGTGGTAAATCATGCTCATGTCAGGTAACCTCCCCACTAGATACTTCAGCAATCACTGTCTAGGGTGTAGGTAACATTAAGACAAAATGAGGAAAACAGACAGCCTTTAGTGCAAGTGGCCTGTTTCACCTGTCTCTTTGTACTGAACTTGTATGCAATATTTTGAAAAACATGTAGTGAATGTTGTTTGTTTTGTTTCAGTTGCAACAACTATTGACAGACCTTCCCCATGATATGCTGGAGGACAGTGGAGACCAGCTCTCCAGCTATTCGGACAGTAGCATCCATGAGGCTGAGGAGCAGTAAGGCCTTTGGCACCATTTTTTCTTATTTGTGTTTTAGAGAATAGAGCCAATCTCAGCTGCTGAGGTGTGTGAAAGCAATCTGAATAAAAGGGGAGCTGTAGTGCAGTTTGCAGTATGGTTTGTATTCCATGAGAAACAAACTAGATGCCACTTAACAAAGATGTGGTTTTGTTTTGGTTTTTTTCTGAAATTACAAGTTCATAGTCAAGCTGCTTGTCTTTCTCTAGATCACATGAGCCTGGGAAGCTTGATGGAAGGTGGAATGGCCATGCGTTGATAAGTGATCCTCAAAATGTAAGCTTGTATGAGCAGTGATTTAATTAGTAGGAACTATTTGCTCGCAGTAACATGCTAAATATTACTTAAATTCACTGGAAAAATACTTTTAATGTAGCTGATGTTTTTTTGCTATTAATTTGAAGTATTTTGAACTTGAGGGATTGTAGTTCAGAATGAGTTTTGAGAGAGTAATTCTATACCTCTTATACATTCATAGGGATATAAACAAGGACAAAATCTGTACCCTGAACAATTCTTGCACGACCAGCAAAATGATCATGTTGAAAAACATGGAAAGAATTGGAATGGCCTTCATAATGATGAGGAAAAGAAACACTTATATGACATTGAAGAAGATTACCACATCACGAATGGTCAAGAGGATCCTGATGATGTGTATCTTGCTAGAGATAAGTTTAATGCTCCAAGTTGCTACCAACAGAACAACGTGTATCACCTTCCTGAAAACTTCAGGCCATATACAAATGGCCATAAACCAGAATTTAGCAATCAGCGAAGTAAAATAATAAATTTTCCAGATGCTCCAAAGGAACATCCTAAGGTATTTCAGAGCTGATATATTTTTCTCTTTTGGAAAATTTCCTAAGTCTTTATTGGTACTAGTATTTTGAAATGCTTTCAGTCTCTTATTATCAGTTTAAACAGTGATGGGAGGCTTCTGTAGTCTATTTAAAACAATTAAGTGTTAAATAATTGGATTTTGTTATGTACATGTTGTGATTTTTTTTTTTTTTACTGTTACTGGCTAGCTAGAATTTCATGAGGTAAAATGAATGTAATTCACTCAAGTGTGTGCTTACACTCTTGAAGTTGACACTTCACTCTCCTAAAGTGGAAGCTTTCATGAAAATTTCTGTCACACTGTGCTGTATTGGAGCCTGAATATGAAGAGTAAATAGAGCTCTTCTTAATGTCAACCTGTAAAATGAAAAGTATTTTCAAAGAGCAGGAATACAGTTGGGTTTAATTTATTTCCTCTTATGCATTTATTGTCCCAACAGCAATTTGTTGCACCTGATGTTGTCAGTGGCAAGTCACCAGAATCTTACAAAGTGACTTATAAACCATACCAAAATGGCATTCATCAAAAAATTCCAGTAACCCAAGAAGGAGCCAGAGGAAATGAAGTCTTTGAAGACTTGCAACATGAATTCTTAGGCAATGATGAAAGTAAGAGTTTGCTCTTTAAACTTGTGTGAAAAGTCTATTGGAAATCAGCCACAGAAAACCTATTTATCAGTAGATTTTATTTTTTTTTTGTAAGAGGAAAACTGAAAGTGTGTTGATGTGTATGAACTTTCCTTTTGCTCTAAGCTTACATTGGGATAGCCAAAATTTTTTGTTGTTGTTATTGCTTACCCCCACCCCTGCTGCCTTGATCCCTGCCCTTTCAGGGGCTTGGAACTAGATCATCATCTAGGTCCCTTCCGACCCAAACCATTCTATGATTCTATGATCTTAAGTCTTGCTGGTACATTGTCTTTAAAATATTAGAAAACAATGACTTGCTATAGCATGGGAAACATACTTTCTTGGTGCCACGTTGTGCTCTTCTGTTAGGTATACTTCAAAGTGACAGAATTTGCTTGTTACAAATCTTGAAAATTATATTTGCCACAGGATTGTGTGATTCACAGCAAGTAAACTTTTACCTGGGCCTGCTGTTAGGTTTGAATTGTATTGGTAGTTCCTGCAGTTCTACAGCTATTGCTGCCACAGCAACTCAGATGATGTGAATAAAACATAGATTAAAAAATTATGCAATTTTGTCAACCAGCAGTGAATTTGATGCTGTATGAAAGAAGCAACTTGTGGCAGGAATTGCTTATGACAATGACTTTCTTGGTTAGTTGACTGTGCTGACTTGTCTGTATGCTCTTTGAGATTTGGCAGATTCAGAAAACATGCAAATTCTTCAACTTCAAGTTCTAAATAAAGCAAGAGAAAGACAACTGGAAGAGCTTACTGAAAAGCTAGAAAAGAGTGCACAGCAAATTAGGTATTTGAATCATCAGCTTTCAATAATCAAAGGTAAAATGTTTTGTACTAATTCTTAACTTTTCTTTATATATAACAACTTCTTTTTTCTGAAATTTTAATTTAGGAAGTGTCTCTGCAGGTATTGATCATATTTATAAACTTGATTTGGGATGATGTGGACCTAAACTTCTCTCCCAAATGTTGTTCTAAAGAAAATTCTCTGGATTGGTGTCTGACTACATAACTGCCCTTCACTGCGTTCTGAAGACCACCCTTATACTCCAGAGTCCCCATGCCCCAGGCATTAAAAACTTACAGATAAACGAGAAGTTTGCCACAGTAGTATGTTAAAAGTACCAAAAAACCCCAAGCAAACAACAACCCCAAACAAAAATCAAATTGCCGAAAAACCCAAGGAGAAGTTTACATTTACAAAAATTAAAAAAAAAAAAAATTGTTTTTTTTTTTTTGGTCTCTGCTGGTTCAACAAATCCTGAACTGTATTTGGAGAGAAGCTCTTCCAAAATTATTAAAGCTTTAGTGGAGACTGGTGATTGAATTGGCCTTCCTTTACTTACAGGAATGGACAAAAAAGAGTTGAGCTTAGAGAATTAAGAATATAGTTCTTACAATGCAAAAGGAACAAAGGAGAGTGTGAACTTCATCTGCCAACCATTTTGCTGTGTTTTGGCTGTGCCGCCAGGGATATTATTTTGGTTCTCCTTTTAAGAGGTGTAAGGGGTGATGCTAGTCTCTAGTGCTGGCAGAATGGGGCTTGCTTCCACTAGGGTTCTGCAAGTGCAATGTATCAGGGAGCTTCCAGCTACCGGAGGGAGAAAGTGGTTACTGGATGGAGACTGAAAGGTTTTTTTCTCTCTTTTGCTCATTGTCCACAGCATGACATGGAGGGCTCATAGCAAGTGGTTCTGTAGAGCAGGGATACTGAACACTTATGGTCCATGAAGTTGTTGGGTGGCTGGGCATGTTTCTCACTCAATTATTTTATCTGTCTCTTAAGATGAAAAGGATGGTTTGGCTGTTAGTCTTTGTGAGTCTCAAAAACTGTATCAGAATGGAAAGGAACGGGAAGTGCAGCTTGAAGGTCAAATAAAGTCCCTTGAAACTCAAATTCAGACTCTTACTACCAATGAGGAGCAGGTACTATAAATATCTTTAAACTGTTTATTATGGAAGATCTCAGTTATGTCTGTAGTGCATTTGCATTAAACAGAAGTGCCAGTCTCTTGAAACAGTGTTCATGATCATTGCAGAAGCTGAATATATGATGAATGCATAGGATGCCTGGCTGGAAAATATTTTGTATTAAAATCCAGGCAGTATCCAGTATCTGAGTACTTTTAGCAGTTCTTGCACACAAAACTGAATTGACATACAGAATATTGGAGCAAAAGTAAAATATATGTAACTGGGAGCTATTCTAATACTTTTTCTACAGCTGTTGAAGCAATCCAAAGTGGCAGAGGTAGCCATGGAAAGCATGCAGAAGCAGCTGTTAGAACTTCAACGATCAGATGCCCTTCAGCGAGCCAGAGAACAACATGAGTCCATTATTTCAGCGCTCAAGCAAAAGCATGAAAAGCAAGTATTAGCATTAGAGCAGAAACTTGATACTACAAAATCTGCACTCCAAGAGGAGGTGAGAAATTATTTGAGGATGCTGAATACTGTACCGGAGTGGCTGCACAGCTCCCTGTGTTTCCTAAAATGCACTTATTGACCTATAATACTCCTTCTGGAAGCTGCCAAGCAAATGGCAAGGAAATTCTACATAAGTCTCAAAACTTTAAAGCTTATGTGGTACGTTTTTATAAACATCTCCAGGCAGCTGTGAGCTCAGATTCTGAGTTTGTACATAGTCAATGCAGAGGAGGCAGGAATTCATTGTCTGAGTTTCTCTTATGAGCTTTTATTCTGTGCCCAATATCTTTGTGAAAGAGTACCAGAAGGTAAATCTGGGAAAGAAAAGAACTAAGTAAGAAATGATGTGATGTTTTTTTGCTTCAAGAAGAACTGTTTATTGAATGGTCATTGCCAAGCTTTAGTCTCAAAATGATCAAGGATGACTAACCACTGAAAAATCCCTTTATTTTAGAAGTAGAGTTTTAAAGGGAGAGAGGGGGAATCTGACTTTAAGATGGAGTATGTTGTTGAGTGTGTCACATGGTTCTAGAGCTTATTAAAATTATTCTACCTGACATGTCATAAGAGTCCACTGCATTATTAGAAATATTCAAGCAACGTAGTCTAGGCAGGCCTTACTAAATTGTCCTTTTCTGTCATATAAAGGAAATTGAATTAAATTTCTTTAATTCTGGGTCTGTAATTCTTGCATCAACATAAATATGCATAAAAATAAATAAGCTATATGTTTGAAAAGGTAACTAGCACTTGCTTGTAAACAAAAGTGCATTGCTAAATCTATTAGTGCCACAACAAAGCTTACTGAAACAGTGTTTCTACTGTAAAAAAAGTGTTTTATGGTTGCACATTTGAGGTATTTAGAGAAAGCTCCTGTTCTTGGGAGAGAAAAGTGGAAAGGCGTAAAGGTGAGGTGAGGTGCTGTGCCTCTCAGGTCTCTAGGTAGCTGTAATGCCACGTGAATGTCTGCTTTGTATGGCATGTGAAAAAACCCTACAGTTTCTCTTTTACAGAGAGTTGGAACTTGCTGCCTTGGCTTATGCTCACTTAAAATAAACTAAATTGGGTCAAGTTTAGGCTTAATATAAATAGTGTGAAGGCTTGATTTTTCTGCAGTAGACTAACCATATGTGATTAATTACAGGGGATAATGTGACATGCTGAAAACAAACTGCTTTAGGAAATATGCAACAGTTCATATCGTGTACGTTTGTATATGAGTATACTTACTGTCTCCTAGTGAAAACTTACCTTTGATGCTGCACGAGGTGACTTGTCAGCCAAAGATAGAATTTGATTGTGATTGATATAGCTGGCCTCTGCCCCTTTAGATATCTGGTTCCTTTTCTTCTGTTTCTTGTGTGTGTTGGTTCTTTCTATATGTGAAACTGTCCTAATTGGCTAGGTGTTTGTAAAATTAATAAAAATAACCTGTCTTCCTAGAAAGAGTTTTGCAAAAATCTAGGAGAACATGTTAAACAACTTGAAAAAATGCTGGAAGAAACCAAATGTGAAAAAACTGAAATAATAAATCGGCTGACAAGAAGCCTAGAAGAAAGCCAAAAACAATGTGCAAATTTACTGCAAACAGGTCAGCCTTTAACTCATTCCTTATCTTTCCCTGCAGAAATGGCTCCAGTCTTTTGAAGTATGAAACTTCACATCTGTGTCTCTATTGAAATGGAACCAACATTAAGCTAAATTTGTACTAGACCATTTCCTATGCAGTACCTGGGTCAGACTGAAATTAAATTTAGTGAAGTGTAGAGTGAAGTGTAAAAAACAATAAAAATTTAAAAAACCCTGAAACACTATCATACAAAGAAACCCAGCAAACCCCAAATCACAGTGATTAAACTGTTCTTATATGCATTTTTTGCTGTGTATGTCTAAACTAAATTTTGGACTAAATAACAGCCTTTGGGAACAAGCTACTTGTTTTTGTGTTAGGTGTTTGACTTGAAGTGCCATTCTAAATTAAAATCTCAGAGAACAGAACTGGTTTTGAGGCTGGCTCTTGGAAACTCCCATCAGTAGGACTAGCACATAAAATATTCTGCTCTTTGTGTATTTGACTTGTGCCTACCTTTACACACTGAAATTTTTAAATAGTAATGTGTGTATTTTCATAGAATCCAAACATCTTAACTAAACTAAATGTCTGTCTTCTTGGATCCAAATTTAAGAGCATGCTGTTTTGAAAACTGTGGTAGTCTAGAAGAAAAATGTCCCTGGAGAGAGCCTAAATGTCAGGATAGAGAAGGGAGAAACCTTATTGGATTGGTATTATGTTGTAAATAAGCAATTTTAAACATGTTGCAATATTTAAAAAGAGTGCAACTGCCACTTGAAGAAAAGCCATGATTTTTCTGTGCTATATTGGTCAAATGCCTTAAAGCTGTAATATTCTTGCCTTCATTTTTTGTATTTTTTAATAGTTTAAGGAAGTGGAAACAGTCTAATGCCTGTTACCAGTGTCAGCATCGCTATTTTTAACAGTGATCTTTTTCAGATTACAGTTTTTCTTGCGTTTTTTTTACTTGCTTTTCTCTCCTTTTTCTTTCCTGCAATAGGCTCGATACAGGAGACAAATCAATTGCGTTTTCAGTTGCAACAAGCTCAGTCTGCACACATGATAACCAAGAACATGAACGAGGCTTTACAGGTTTGTTCATTTAATATGTGTTTTACTACTTTGATTTTAGGAGGACAGGCATTCTAGCTAACAGGTTAATAGTAGAAACTCTACCTGTTGGAGAAACAAGCATGTCTCCTTTCAGTAGAGGACTACCCACTGCTTCATCTCCCAGTGCTGCATGTTTAACACTTTGTTGTGGGTTTGTTTAATGAAAACACAGTGGGGCATATGTATTGGCACAAATGTGATGCCATATATCTATCTAACCTGCTTATGGAAAAAACAGAATGATACTTCTACTTGCTGGGAATCTCTAACTTTGATTAGGCTGTAGGGATAGCTGGAGATACTGTGTTCCAAAATTTACCTTTTGCCAGCATAAGAGAATGCTAGGGAGTTGTCTGTAAAATTTGAGTGGAAGTCTGTGTTCATGTATTTGATTTAAATCTGTCATCTTGGAAATTATTAATCTTACTGAGTACTAGAGTAACAGGCTACTTTTCCAGCTATGTATTCTTTTGTTGTCACCCTTTTTACTATAAAACGTCAGCAG